AGAGTCAGAGACACCCCTCTGCCACTCACACACCACTGTGGGTAAGCTGCTGTAGCACAAAAACCTCTCCTCCTCAGGAACAGGGCTAGGAGTAGTGACAGGCCAGAACAGCTTTTAATACTGGGTCTCTGACACCATCTGCCTTGTTGCCATCTAGACTGTGCTTACAGCCCAAAAGCCATGGGAGGGGAGGGGGGGAAGAAAAAAACCCAAAACTTAAAAAGCCAACCAAAAAACATCCCCCCACAACACACAACCAAAAACCCACACACAAAGAACACCCACTCCCCACCCTGGCTGTATTCCTTCCTCTTCCCAGTTTTCACTACTTTGTGGGGGTGATTCTTAGTGTTCCCCTCTTGGCACATGAGCCTCAACACTTTCCAAAAAGCTCCCTTGGGCTTTTGCACTGTTACTTGCACATCCATCTCTTGAACAAAGACTTCTCTCCAACACAATACACAGCACATGTTCTGTAATGCTGACACCATCATAGATGTCTCAGAAATCTGAGACACACATCTGAAGTCTTTAAAAAGAGGATGTATTTGGGAAACCCAAACACAAGGTGGGCCTATTTCTGGCAGAGCTTTTCAGAATCTTCCTTAACTTCTGAACTCTTTGTCCTATAAGCACATGCTGGAATCGATGAAGTCAGTGGTTTGCAGGACCAGAACCTCTGACTGGGAGTCCCTCAGAGCAGCAACTGCAAGATGAGGGTCTGTGGAGACATACAGAGCCCAGGAACCTCAAAGCTGAGCTTCAAAGTACAAAAGAAAAAGAATCACTTGTGAAAGTAGCTTCTTCAAGAGCTGTGCAATGGCAGGGTCCTCGGGGGGGGGGCAGTCCGGGAGGGCACCGCTCCTCTTCCTCTGGCGCATCTGCAGGTGCCGGAAGAGGCTGGTGATGTCCTTGGACCTTAGCACATAGTCAAAGATGGAGCGGCTGACGGGCTCCCTGAGCACACTGAGCAGCACCATCTCCTTATCGATCTGCAGGTCAAAACAGAGGCACCAGTCACGGAGGGTACCCACAGGAACACGGGGAAATCTGGCAGTAAATGCTGCTCTCTCATGTCTACAAGGTTTGCGCTTTTTTTTCCTAGCGTGAAAGTAGTGACTGGATAACTGCAAATATTAACATAAAAACCTATCTCTTCCTCTGACAGCATATTCTGAAAACAAGTTTAGAGCTCAGTCCTAAAAATATGCTTACAATAACAAAAAATCTTGTAAAAAATCTTGCAAAAAATCTCAATAATCATTGCATGTGACTGTGCCAATGATCCAGATTCAACACCCCTCCTCTCGTGAAAATAATACCTTTCCCTGTGTTGGTCAGATCAGATTTTCTCCATTCACTTTTCTGGCTCTCCCAGCAGTCTCAGAACTTAACAACAGTAAATGGGATTAAAAATTCTACTACTAGGACCACGATCTTTCAGACTTTGTCTTTGTCCTACATCTACCCTGTAAAAATACCAACTAGAAGAGTTCCTCCCCCGTGCCAGTCAGAGTACTGAGTTTCCTCCTGCGTGTACCAGGCAATAAGGATGCACAAGCATGTAATTAAGTAATATGCCAGGAATATGCAATATGGGACTTCAGTAAACAGTCATAAGAAACTATCGATTTAAAGCATAATTTAAAACCACTAAGTGAGGCAGTCTTTATAAATATTGTTTATTACTATTAAAATTTAAAAAAAAAACAACCAAGTTTCTATTTTCCTAGGTGGCGATTCAACATCTGTTTGTGTCCAGAGAATATGTCTGGACAAACAGTCTTGTACACAACTCAAAATACTTGCAGCCCCAAAATTCCTTTCAGTTTATACTTTTATTTCAGTACTTGATCTTTGCTGTTGAGAGTAGCTCGTAAGATGACAGGGGGCAAGCTTTATTGCAAGAGTTTGATCATAAACAAGGCAGAGAGGGGCTTGAACCACAGACACAGCTGTTGGTTTTAGGCTCTGTAAAAATGTTTTGCAATTTGCAACAAATTTGAGAAAACAGTCTTTCAGACATGGAAGGCAATAGCCATTCTGTCAACGTCTGCCAGAAGAGATCAAAAAACTATCACTTCTAACCTTAACTGGAAAAAAAATAAATCCAGTATTCTTATAGCCAGACCCATGGCCAAGACAGACTTAAGAACTGTGACTAGTGAAGATATATTCACATTATTTGAAGTATTACCTGTATTATTGGTTGTGTGATAAAAGGATGGAGGTATGGCATTAGCTTGCAGTAGACATCAGCAATATTCAAGTACTGTGCTACCACAGTGATAAACCCGACAGCACCATAACGTATCCACAGATTAGGATGACACAGGAAAGGTGCTGAAAGAAAATTAGGCTGTTAAAATACACCATTCATATTAAAGAGAGGGCATCATCCTGCATGTGGCAGCCTGGGATGTCATTTCCTTCCCCTAGAATTACCCCCAAACTGAGCCTTCCCTCCTGCAGAGCACCAAGGTTAAAACATTCATACTGAGAAAATTATTCCATGGACTTTACTGTGCCCATGCTGCTCAGCTTCTTTGCTGTAGCCAAAAAGCATATTTTTTTCCTATTTACTCCTTTAAATCCCTAACTGTTAACTCCAGATTTGTAAAGGAGACTTATCAGAAACTAAATCTCAACCTTATTTTGGACAACTACAGACAACCCTAATACCAGTGATTTCTTTTAAATTTTTAAACAACTTCTTCATGGCTTCTTTCTTCCCCTCTCTTCCTTGAATAGTCACTACTCATATTATAAAAATCATCGGGCTCGGAAGTCCATCTCAATCACGTGGCTTTTAAGAAGCTGTAATCAAGGGCCTGGATCTAGTCATGATATTTGTTCACAGATCATCTGCCCCAAATTCCAAGTACATTTGAAAAGCCATGTCAGGAAGAAGCAGACTACTTCTCAGAACATCAGTTGGTCTTTTCCATAAATAACTTGTAAACCTTGGGCACGTCTAAAACAGATAAGCCCTATGAGACACCAACTCCATATTCAAGGTTCTATTGAGTTAAACGTTTTTTAATGGTGTTAGAAATAGGGTGAGGATGGATCATGTGTCGTCTGAAGGCCTGATCTGCCCCTTCCACACAGCTGTTGGGTGGGCGTGTGGAAGGTACATGCCTGATCAACTTCCAGAAGTAACCAGGAGTTCTTCTCTATAGGAGGCTGGCAGGAAGAACAAAGAAAGATCTTAAAGCAGAAAGTTTTTGGACTAAGTGCTCTTGGCTGCTGTCCTATATAAAAGCAGAGATGATGCTTCCAATTTGTTCCACCTAAATTGTTATTTTAGAGTTCTGATCACTTAAATGGTCCCACCAGCAACAGTTAATTAACACAGTTTTGGGTAGATTCTAAAACACTACCATAGGTTTGCATATTGGACAGCTCAGCTGATGGCAAAGCTTTATGTAGTACCAAGATGTCTCTTCTTAACCAGGAAAACAAAGTATTCTCCAGTTTCCCAACTTACCAATATCACAAGCAAACTCATAAATATGGGGCTTTTGCAAGAGCCCCAACTGGCACATACAAGTGAGAGCATTGAGGGCTTTATAAATGACAAATTCCTCAGCATCACTGAGACCTTGCTGAAGCAGAGGTTTCAGTATTGATGAGCTCTGCCAGCCAACATAAGCAGCAACACCTGAAACACAAAAAGAACACATAAAAATCCAAAGCAACACTTCCTGGGCTTTCCTCACCAAAGTTTAAAATTGCTGTCCCAGGGAGACACCTCAGAACAGATCATTGCTCATTAGAAAAACAGGAAGCTGCTTCCCCTTCAAAGTTAGACCAATATTCTGGAAAAGGTTTGGCAGAAGCAGATCCCTGTGGCTGCAGAGGTCCTTCCAGATGCCAGGACGTCAGCTGAAGTCACAAACAGTGAGGAAAACTGGCAGTGCTCCTAAGGGCTGGGGGCACAGTGCCCACATCTCCACGTGGAAGGACAAGTGAGCGATGAGGAACGCTGCTCTTAGCAGGAGTCTGTCTGCTGACTTCACAGTGACTGTCATTTGAGTATCACTCAGGCTCCTGAAAAGTGACCTGAATTGGGCACTGGACTTACTATCAGCAAGGAAAGTCTGTAACATACATCCACTTATCCACAAAAGAAAGAATTGCCAGCAGTCAAAAAAGAACTTTTGAGACAATCTTCTGAAAACCTTCCAGACTGAAATGGCTGCAAGATTTGCCATTTAGTTAACTAGTTTCAAAATATTTGCCAGCATGAAGCCACCTTAACTCTAGTTTCGATAAGAAATCAATTTTTAAAATATATTTCAAAATCTTATCAAGAAACCAAGATCAAAAGCAAAATTAAAGTAATTACTTTGAAGCTACTGGACAAAAATACATCAAGTGCATTGCAGTGAAAGAAATTGCTTTCCTGTCCTCCTTCCTTTCCCACATGAGAAGCAGCCACTGGCCACACGAACCCACCACCTGGAATTGCTTGTTTGGATGAGATAACCCATCTACAGTAACTAATCTCTGGCAACAGACAGGGAGATGGATCTTGTTGGATTTATGACCTTTTCTCTAGCTGTACATCCATCGAGCAAACGTTTCCCACAAACAACTGGGCATGTCCTCTGGTCGTTCTCAAGAGAAAACAAAAAGTTTTCCATCGAACAGCTCAGGCTTATCGCTGCTGTTGTCATCCGTGGTACACACCACACACCACAACTGCCACTGCTTCTAGCCCAGCTATTTGGGGTTGCTAAAAATGCTGCCTGCATACAAACATGAGTTAGAGAGCTCAGTTTTAAAGGCATGCAAGACCTTTAAATAAAGGAGTGTAAAATAAAAATGTATATTAATTCTTCTGTGGAGGTTTTGAACAGATAGTGGGGGAGCAGGAGGAGTTTAAAGTACAGGTGACATGTTTTGGCTGCCTCACGTCTCTGTACATGTCTTTTGCAAGAAGCCAGGCCACTGTGCCCTGTGCTTTGGCTACCCCACTGCTCCAAATTCTAACAAGTTGTAAGTGTCACCTCCTGGCAGGGCTTGGCAGCACAGCATCTGTGGCTCCCAGACAGAATGGCACGTGTGCCTGCGGTAAGGGCCGTGCGGCAAGTTGGGTCATGCCCATTTTTCTTGCCGTGCACCTGAAGTATCACTCTTCCCCCAGGTACTGCAATGGAAAGATTTCCTGACCTGCGAATCCTGAGCACAGGCTCTCAGCAACAGTCACCTGGAATAACTTCCAACACACAGAACGTGGCATATACTTAACATCTGATGTCATCTCTGGTAAGATTTTTTTATTATTTTTATTAAGTTTTCTGAGCTGACGGGCATCTTTAAGTGAGGTTTTAAGGCACTAAAATTTTTTTCATATTGTAATTTTATCCTATACCAATGGATAGATATCATCATATGAACAATTCTACAGAAGTTAATGGGAGCAGCACACATGTGAAGGGATGCATCTACGAGACAGCTTGCAGGAACCTTAGCATTTACTTGTCACAACTGAGCTTTTTGAGTTAGTGGCTTTAGCAAAGGTCTAAAAAAACAAACAGCATTTAAAGTTTATTTTTTATGCTAATCTAACCTAGACTAAAATGCCTCACTCTCATTTGTATTACATATTTAGACTAAAAGAAAAATATATTTGTATTTACATTGTTTTGTCTTTGCTCCCTAAAGAAACGTACACCAAATAACTGAGCAAAGTCCTTACTATAAATTATAGAAATCTTTATAAGAAAGGACTTCTGTATGACCGGTATTTATTTACACTGTTACCTCTCTGCTCCGTCTGAAAACAAACACTTACCAACAATACTGTCAAAGAAAGCTCCTCGCAGATGCCAGTCATTCTTATCATTTAAGAAGGTGATCATATGAGACAGAAGAACATCGTTGGCTTTCTGGCGCCCAAAAAAGACACAGAGACGCGTTATTCCGTTCTCCATCAGCGTCTGCTTCACGATATTCTCTGGGTCACTTAGCAAAGTCACAACTTTCTGCTGGACCATTTCGTGCAGGGCTTGCAGCTCTGCAAGAGACAACAGGACGGACGTTTGGGTTGGCGAGAAACAAAACGTGCCCGCGCACTGCCCGCTGCTGAAGGGGTGACGCCGGCAGGTCAGCCTGGAGAACACCCAACGCAACAGAACCTCAGCAATTCCACAGGCTTCAGACTAAGTGTGACGTGGTGGCAGAGCCAAAGACTACAGACATGTGAGACATTCTGACCAGATCAATGTACTCCTAAACCTCTTTCATTTGTCTGCAGTCAGAAGATCAGCTAATTTGCTTTCTATCATGACTCTGTCTGTCCGTCACATGAAAAAGTTGCCTTCTGGCAACTTCTTGTGCTTGGTTTCTAAAAGGATAAAAAGAACAGAACTATTCAAACTTTTCTTCCTTGCATTACTTTTTCATGTCCAAGCTGTTCTGAGCAACAGGGCACAGTATTTCTTGCAAATACAACCTGTATGATGTGGCTTCCTCTCTCACTCCTCAGCAATTCTGAGCACCCCACACCTTATGTGAAGGAACCTGAAGGGGATTTTTTTATGTTTGGTTCTGATAGTTTGTTGTTTTTTTTTTTTAAAGTATCATCCTGCAACTAGTTAAGAGATGCCTGAACCGTGCCTTTTTCCCTACCCAAGGGAGTCTGGGGATCTTTATGAATTATGATTATGAAATGAGTGTTTTTATCCTCTAACTCCTCCTGGCTCAGCAGTCTTACCTGGCATTGTTCTGGAAATCTGTGCATCACTAAAAGGCACTGGCGCTGACACACGGGTCACTTCCTGTCATCCCTCCTTCCCAAGGGAAAGAAAAGGAAAAGCCACCCTTTGGATTTTAACTGACTCTCTGCGCTCCAGTGACAACAGCACAGGGAACGTGTTACTGCCCAGTGGCACCCACACCTTCCACAACTTCAGGCAGACAGGCAGGCATTGGGAACAGGAAAGGCAGAACGACTGAGAAGTGCAGTGCTCTGACAGGCTTTCCAAAGCTAACGCTGCCTGCCACGCGAGGGAAGCGGTGTTTGGAACGCTGCCGTGTTTTCCCAGCTGACTTGTTTACAGGACTGGGAGTCCAGCTGGACACGCAGCCAGGCTGCCAGCATCGCACCCAAATACCTTAAGAAGCTCTGGAGAAGGGAAGTGTCCTCATTTATATACTTCTCTGTCTTCCATAGTGTCAAGAACAGAGGCGTCTGTTTCTACATGAGACTGTGATACTGGTCGAGGCAAAGCATTCTTCCCATTTAACAGGCAGGCTGCTCCAAGAGAGCAGGAAGGTCAGCACTAACTTGTCCTGTGAGGCAAGGTAACTAGAAGTGACATTACCTGTGTCATAATTATCACTAGGGTGAGATGCTTCATCCATTTCTTCACCATTTGGTTCACTTTCCATATTCAGATTTTTCAGCTGTACTAACTCCAGGAACCTCAAAGCTGTTTCTGCCAACAACGCTATGTTTTCTGCAAAGGAAAACATTTTTCATTAGGAATTGTTCTACTTTGCCAGTTTACATTAGTCTGATGATCCCCCTCATGAGAGGTTATGACCACTGGCAATACCAGTCATGATGGGCAAATGGGATTGAAAATGCACGACTCGTTCTGATCAACCCAGTTCTGCTGACCCTGACCCCAGTGAAGCTATCAAGTACCTCAAATCACACGGTATTTTTGCCATCTAAACAAGTGGAAAATTCGTAAGGATATCAAGTGTGACAAGAACTAATTTCAGCCTTCTAGAACTAGCCCTAAATGCCACCTTATCTCAGCCTAATGACTAAACAACTTGATAGAACTTAAAGGGCAACTAACTTGAATGAACTTACATGCCCACGTGCCAGACTGCAGCAAAACGATGATGGCAAACCACCATGCCAGGATGTGTATCTCGGGGAACAGCAAGAGGGTTACCCTTGAGGGGTGGATTCTGCTTTGAGAACATTTGTCCCCACATCCCGCCGTGTGACTTGGCAGTGCTCGCACTGTTTGGGAGCTGCTGAGGCAACTCAGGCTGTGCTATATGGGTCAGGGCACGGCTGGCACGGGAATAATCCTGCTGAGGCAGAATTCCCTCTGAAACGCCCTTCTGGGTGTCGTCCAGGACCACAGCAGCAGGGCAGCAGATCCCCTCAGTCACCAGCCCAGCCACCTCCAGCAGGTGTGCTGGAGTAACACAAGCTAACTCAGCTATTAGCCTACTCTGCCTTTAAAGATACAGAGAGATATAGATATATTTGAAATTTAAATTGCTTTCTTAAAAGAAAAGCCATCTGAAATTAAGGCAACATCATCAGACTTAACCATGTACAATTCAAATAATCTTTTCAAATTTCAGAAAATATTCTAGCTGTACTCAATTTGAAAACAAAGTCAGACCACTAAACCTGGACAGAGCTTCTGTGTAAGCTGATGCAGCAGGAGGCTCTGGGTACTGTGACCTGTAGCCTTTTTGCTCTTGCAGAAAGAGAGATTCCATTTTGTTTCCTTCAGATCAGCTTATTTCAGTTCATCTTTATATTACTTTGTTTAAAAATTTACCATGAATAGACTATAATTTTAAAATATTTGGGTTTTTTTCTAATCTACAAATAAAAGGGAGGCGTGAAAAATGGTTCTTTCATAAAGCCCTAAACTTGGAAGATCAAGGTGACCAAAAGCAATTGGTTCCATTCATTACCTACACATTGTCTTTAATAATTATTTTTATCAGCTTACTTAGCAAAGAAAAGGAAAACATCACCTGGGACATTTTCAACTAATTCTGCATTTATAACTTCTAAAAAAAAACACAACAAAAAAAAGAAAAGCAAAACAAGACACTTAAAAGCACACTAGTCATAGCAAATAAGGTATGTGGTGCATAGCAAATACGGGCACGACTACAGAGCTTCTTCCTGAGCTAGGCAGAACTCCTATATCTAAATAAAGTACAAAGAAAACATCTGCTACGGTATGAACCAGCCTGTTACATAGCAAATAAGGTCGTTCCAGCCCAAGTATCAAATGTCATTTGTGGGTGTCTTCTTTGTGGGAAGACACCTCTGAAGTGGGGCAACACACTGATGCTTTGAGCGAGTTTTGTATTTATTCAGTTCAGTCTGGCCACTCTAAGCAAACCTAAGCTAATGAAATGCCAATCAAGACAAATTAATAGAAGCAGCAAAGGGTGGGCAGGGTCCAAGAGCCCTGCTCACATACTTAGCTACACAAAGACCCCTCAGACAAGTTTCTTTGTCCCACTCTTGCTCGCCCAGGTCAGGGAATAAAGCCCAGACTGCTTCCATGAGCAGGAACTCTAAACTCCAACCCTTTCTTACCCCGGCTGTGGGCAGAGCTGCACAGGTACACCTTCCACAGGTGCTTTTACCTGCTGAGCCACAGAGAGCAAGGAATGCTCATTTTAAGAAAAGTTCATTCACCTAGCAGAGAGTAAACACATTTTGTTAACTGTTTAAACTGTAGTTATTTACTCTGGGTACAGATCTACCCTGGAAATTCATCTGTTAGTAGAAGTCAACTCATGAAGTCACTGCCACCACCTGTACCAGTCAGCTTAAGTGGATGCTGGTGTCTCTACCAGCAGGCATTTGAGACTTCTGGGGAGGTTTTACTGGAACATAAACAGCCAAGCTAGATGATGATTTTGAGCAGAGAACAGTTAAGGAAATAGAGAAAAGCCCAAAATTTGGAGTTTTGACTGGACTTCCTCTTACCGGCATATGCCAGCCTGACGATGGTGGCTTCATCCTGGGCCAAGTGTGCGATGCCTGGCAGAATGTACTCTGGGTAAATGTTAATGTCGTTGCGCGGCACCTCTTTGACGAGAGCCAGAACTTTAGTTAGTGTCCTCACAGACTCTGCCCTCACCCTGGGCACAGAGTCGTTGCTGAAATGTAACAGATAAGGAGTAATACGATCCAGAAGAATCTCTACACTTAATCTTGGAGCTAAATGAAGAATCAGTTCCAAAGCAGCCAGTTTCGAATCACAGTATTTGAGAGTCTGTAAACAGGAAGTTATGACAGACACCAGAATAACCAGCCCATTCTCCTTGGTCTCTCCCTCGGCTTTCTCTGTGCGATCGTGCCCGCAGAGATTGTGCAGGATGTTGTCCAGATCTTTACGTATGACCAGGATACGCTCATCGGCTGATACAAACGTTTCTTTGGCAAACTGGGCCATGTAAGGCTGAAGGAAAGTGTAAAATATTTCAGGAAATGCATTGTTACGTTGCTGTTTCAAATAATCTTCAGCTGCTAAACGTTTATCTGGCTCGCGATGGACCATCTGAGTCACCTTGAGAAAGGCAGAAGTAGGGGGGAGCAGGAGAGAAAGATTAAAGGTTTGGACATTTGTCATACAAAAAACCAAAACAACCCCAAACCCAAACACTGAGCGATTTGTCACCAAAGTAGGTGAAATAAACTACAGACCAACCACACAAGTGTTTCTAAGCTGTAGTTCATCCTTACCAGTTCTCTGATACTGCGGTCTTCAATTTTGTTTAGGACTTGATCCGGGGAAAAGAGGCCATTTCTATAAGCCAGAAGCTGAGATAAATCAAACAACGGTACGCCTTCTGTGAAGAGCTCTGCTATCACACAGCCTGGGGAACAAAAAACATGTCAAAGAAGTCAGAGGATTATAAACAGACACTTTAAGCTTGCTTCCTATATGCAGACAAGAACCAATCCTATGCAACTGCTAGCTCGTTGGAAAAGGGTAGAAAGGAGACAGCATCTCCAGCTCCAAAACCTGGCTTTTACACTTGATCCCTGAAATATCTCACAAGTATTTTATGTCAAACATGCCAAAGGCAGAGGAGTTTGCAATTAGGAAACATGAGGCATTGAATTCAGCCACCTGCCATCTGGAAAATACAGCACCAGAAAAGGAACCCACATCACTGCCTCGTGGAAGGAGAGTGCCAGTAAGTCAGCATGGGTCGGGCTGCAGGTCCAAACTGAGCGGCCCTTTTACAGGTGAAGAAATAACCTCTACTTCCACAGTGCTGCTGGGAGACCACATATATTCACTCACACAAGCTCTTAAGCACAGTGAGAAATAACATAATTGCCAAACACAGCTCCCACTGTTGTGTATGCCCTCTCCAAAGGTCCCATTCCTGCAGTTTGCTCCCACCAGTCAGTGTCTTGTTTCGTCAGTGGAGGGCCCTGCAAGTTTGGCCATAACAGCAGCTTCTAAAAAAAAGTAACCATTTCCTTTACATTCAGATTTTTGATCACTTTAAGAAAAAAAAAAAAATAAAAAGGCTAGACTTCTGGCTTTCAAACAGCTCAAGACAACCCCAAAACTCAAGACAGACTCCCACAGCTGGACTCTTATCATTTGTGAGTGGGGCTGTGACAGGAGCTTCCTTCCTTATCCAACTTTCTGCCTGTGGGGAAGATGAAACGAGAGGGGGCTCCTAAAGCCACCACTGCCAAATTGCCTGGCTCAGTGCCCAGGCAGCTGGCCCGCGGGTGAAGCTGACAGCTCCTCCTCTCGGGTCCCTCGAGGCAAATGCTATGGGTCCCAGGAACCGCGGCCGCGAGAGGGTGGCCTGGGCTCTGCAGAACCATCTCCTTCCCAGGGCAGAGCTGGGCCGTGGCGAACACTTTGTGATGGCCCTCCTCAGAGAGCACGGTGGGGCACTTCAGTTGTGTAGCCTACTGGATTGTGCCTGTACTTTTCCTGTGAATGAAAGACCCAACGCCAGACAAGAAAGTTGTTCTACATGCTGCTCTCTAAGATCACTGTAAAGAAAAGAATGAAAAAAACACCCAAATAAGGTTTCCTGCACCCTGACACAACAATCATGAACAGCACGCTGGCCTCTCCTGATGAGTACCTGCAGAAAAGATATCCATGGCACGTTTTAACTCCCCTCGCGTGCGCTGGTTGCTGCTTGCCAAGTCCACCAGAGGAGTTGAAGGGTCCCGCGCGTTCTCCAGCTCGGTAGCGAACATGCTGCCGTCGACAAAGCGCTCGGGGGCGATGTAGCACGTCCTCCTCCGTGACGTGTCAAAGAAGTAATTGAAGTCAGCAGGATTGTCCTCAGGGAGATAAGTTGGCTTAAAGCTAGCAAAGTCAGTTAGAAGAACCCAGTTCCAGCTGGTTACCATGATGTTCTCTGTTTTGATGTCCCCGTGGCGGACCCCAGACTTGTGCGCCTGGTCCACCGCAGTGAGGATCTGGAAGGCGATCCACCTTTTCTCGATGTTGTTCAGGAACGGCCTGGTGCTGATTCTGTCGTAGAGGTTGTCCCGCACGTACTGCCGGAAGAGCATCGCGGCCTTCTCGGACAGGGTGGCCTTCTGGAAGGGCAGGCAGTTCTGCGCTGAGTGCAGCCTGATCTTCAGCTCCTCCAGCTCCTGCTTGTAGCTCGTCAGCGGCAAGGTCGGGTCCTGGATGGCGAACACCTTCACGACCACCAGCCCCTCCCGGTGCTTGGCTCGGGCCACCTTGAAGAAGCGGGTGCTGCCCAGGCTCTTGTCGTACTCGAAGTCATGGATGTCCGAGAAGTAGCTGTCCACCGAGAGGATCTGCGAGGGGGCGATGCCGGCCAGCTGGTTCCCCATG